GGAGCCGGGGCTGGTACCTGTGCTGTAAGGTCATCTCCTGGCAGCGGGAGTGGGCAGGAGGAGAGCTGGCAGCGTGCGAACCCGCAGCCCGGTGCTCGGCTGACCGCAGCGTGTCGGCATCCCAGAAGCACCTTTACTGTCCTTGTCACCCATAGCGTGCTCCCGCTTGCGGCAGTTCCCATACGGACAGCGCCGAGGTGTCACACCGGGACGACTGCATCCCCGGGGTCTTCTGCCCCAGCGCGTCGGTGCGGAGGACGGCGAGCTGACAGCGTGGCAACAGGACCTGCGGCGGGGGCAAGGCGGGGGGGGGGGGCCCGCGTCCACCTCCACCACCGCCTTTTTTCCACGGGAACTGGAGCGTTTTTCTGGCAGCACAAACAGAGTAACTACAGCTTGCTTGCAGCAGGAGGAGACCATCTCTGGTGTAGGTGTCTTCTCCCAGATCCTGCTCCCGACAGCAAGGAATGCCCTGTTCCCTTGCCTCTTGCTACAGACAACTACACCAGCAGTTCTCCTCCCAGGACATCAGGTCAGCCGCTCTCTTGGACGCTGGGCACAACAGCTTCAGCGCTGTTCTCTCCTCCTCTTGTGTGACGGCGTCTGTTGCTAGAGCTCACATCAGTCCGTGGAGTCTTTCAGCAGAAGTGACAGGGGCACGGACCCCGCTCACCCCCCGCTCTGCCCTTCACCCCCAAACAGGGCAATCTCCTTCCAGCCTCCGTCAGACGGAGCAGTGCCAGCGCCTGCCTCCCACGCCAGCTGCCGAAAGCCGCTCCGTTCCACAGGGCTCTTCGGCTTTTCCTTCACTCGCAGCCCATGGAGGAATGGAGAGGCAGAAGCACTGCTCTCCTCGAGCAGCGCTACCTTGTGCCATCAGCCTGGGAGTCGTCACGGAGCAGCTTTGGGAAGAAGCCCCCTGATGTTGCCTTCTGTGCTTCAGCGTTTACCTAGACTTGGTAACTCCAGCCAGTCCACGCTCCCTTCTCAGCAGGTTCAGAGCGTGGTCTGTGAATCCGAAAAGCAGGTGAAGTGTCAGAGCAAACCTGCAGCTCACTCGGAGCTTCACTTGGAATGGAAGAAGGGCTCAGTAGTCTGATGCTTTGAGAGGGGAAAACATGACTTTAAGATAGGAGTGACATCGTTTGGAGGTGTTAATTTGGCTTCTCACGGGCCCGGGCCGGACACTCCGGTATCACAGCAGCTACGAAGCAGGAGGTTTTGTCTTACAGCTACCCAGCGCTCCCCCCGCAGAGGGACCTTCTCCTGCTTGGGATCAGGACCTCCCTTACCCATCGGTGCTGCAGGGAGCTCCTCACCCAAGGACTGCGTTATCTCCACTGCCACAGCTGTTACCTCTACAGCATATTCTCTGCAGCTCTCACCTTAGAAGAGGCAGCAAAATCATCTACACACGCCCTTATTTTGCCTAGCTAGTTGTATACGTCCTTATTTTGTTCAGCCAGCAGGCGAAGCAGGTTCAGACTCGTGTCCAGGGCCTCGTACCTGCGCGCTGCTCTGGCAGATGGTCCTGCCGCAAGCTCTCTGCCCTAAAGAGGAGTGCTCGGGCAGGGACCAGGCACGCAGCCTGAAGCCAGGACTCCTCACACACGGACTTCTCTCTGAGCAGTGGCAACCCTTGGCGCGCGTTCCGGCAGCCTGCAAGGCACTGAGGAGCAGCCTGCCCTGTAACCACGTCACCCCGGAACGCCCGACGGGACCGACGGGCTCTTTGCCGGCCCAGCCCTTCCCCGCTCAGCCCCGATTTGACTCGCTTGGTCCGAAGATATGGCCACGCTACGCAAGCCAAACAGCTACAGCACAGGAAAGAAAGTTCATGCTTCAGAAAAAAAAATAAAAAGGATGATAGCCACCCCAGTTTGTCTTTGCAACTCGGCTCCTTACCCGAGCTAGCCAGCACTGGAACAGCTAAATCTGATGGTGTGGCCAAAGTAGCGCTGTCTATTGCCCCCAAGCTGCGAACACGAGGGCATAACCGATGCCAAAAATGCACTCCGTGCATGACTTCTCTACATACAGCACTAGTAACATGCAATAATTATGCATTACTTCTTATATTTGAGCTTAATAATGACAGTAAAAAAAAAGACAAAAAATGAGGGGTTTATTATTATAGAAAGCACAGTATTATAATACTTAGAGAGTGATTATACAGAAATAATCTGCAAAAGATTTTGGCAGAAAGTCTTGGATTGATGCACTGCACCGACTGCACAAGAAGTCAATTCATAGTGGACAGAGCTACTTCAACAGCCCACTGCCCCCTCTTTCGCACGTTCTAAAACCAAAAACTGAGCTATTCCTACAAGCATTCCGATCAGCCTCATTACAAGTTACCCGAGTTTGTGTTTTTAACTTTATCCTATGCTGTCAGGAAATCAGGGCCTGGATTACACAGCAATTATGAACACAAAATATCTACAGCAAAAGCAGCAGTCATAATACTTGTACTACAGAGCATTTAATTTGTTTTTCCTCCCTCCTCACCACCGATCGCAGAAGGAAATGAGACCGATGAGAATTCTTCTAAGTAAAGAAAAAAGTTACCTCCTCCAACAATCTGCTATGAACACACAGGTTGAAAATTCAAGATTAGCACCCCTAAAACATTAACAGTGGCAGACAGACATTACACTGGGCAGCATTACGCCTTATTTTCTCTCCCCCCTTATCTGCTGGGTTTCAAAACCAGCGTCAGAACACCGAGCACGTTCTGCTCAGGCTGGCACGATCCAGGAAGACAAACGCAGCCCGACAAATACCAAACAGCGTGCGGCTCGGGGTGTTAGCCAAAGGTCGCATTTGTGCTGACGCAGTGAAAATGAGTTTGAGTCACCACAGTTTCTCCTGCCTAAGGGTTATCTGCACAGGGTTCTGGTTGCTCCACCAGCACCAGCCATCCACGACAGCTCCCAGCTGGCTGCAGAGCTGAGCGTGCGCTCGGGACCCTCTGGGTCACAGGGGTTCCCCGCAGACGCCCGGTTTTGGTCTCATTCAGCAGCCAGAGATCACCCCCGCACTTCTACCCCCCACCCAGCTGGGTCTAAAGCACAGCTTGAACTACGCTACCAGGGCGAGCAAGTCTCGCAGCACCAGTGCCAAAGCTCTTCCGCAGCCGCTCCCTCCCGGCCCCGCTGCCCGGAGCCGGGGTGGTCATCGCCCGGCAACGTGGCCGGTGGCGGGGGCAGCACGACGTCACGCTGCGAACACGGTTCTCAACTTCCTGCAGCCACAACCTCCCTCAGCACTTCTCAGCAGCACTAACTGGACAAGCACAAGCTTCTCTTTCAGAAATACCCTCCCCTTAACAGACAGGATCAAGCGCGGTACAGAAAACCTCACCCCAACCAAATGTCCTGCACCCATTCAATTTTCACCTTTGTTAAATAATGGAATCGTCCCAGAAACGGTTCTTCCGCAGCGCCGACAGCCAGCGCTGGCACACAAGCTGTCCTCCAAAGAGAAGGGCAGCACAGTGGGTATGCCAGGGCAGCATGCGGCGGCAGTAAATAACCCTGAGCGTGCTTTGTTCCTTCATCAAATCAATGATTAATGGCTCAGTATAGTCAGTCCGCTGCTCAAGGCTTGCGGAAAACTTTTGATCAGTTTGACTCATTAACCTTTAAAACTGCCTCTAAAAGAGGCTTCGAATCTGGAGGGGAAGCATCGTTTTAAAACCAAGACTTTGATTTTACGCAGAAATACTCATTTTTGACAAACCGAGCTAAGCATTGAGACACTCTGCTCCTCTTTAGAGGCACTCAGCAGCTCACAGTCAGGTGCCGAGGAAGAAATAATACGGCAAAATAAAGTTGATGTAGACAAACAAAACCAAGTTCATCTTAAAATTCAAAACCAATCAGGGCTGGGGGGAGAAAACGGCACTTCTTTGTGGTTCTTAAGCATTTGGCTGACTCGCAGGTGGCTTCCCAACTGTCTCTTTATTTCTTTTGGTTTTAATGCTAATAAAAAAAGGAACACGAACAGGGGACTCGGTTCCCCAGACAATGCGCTGGGGGAGGGCAGGGAGTGTAACTTATGTATCCGAAAAGTCTGACTCAGACAAATTACTTCTAGTTCACTTCCTTACTACACGCTCGCTTTGTTCCAACACCTCGGCAGCAGAAGGGGCTCATCCCCAGCTATCTGGTCACGGAAACAGCACCGCGGACTAATGCCGTTGAAGAACTGTTCCAATTACTTCCCCGGGGAACGAAGTGACTTGCAGCTTAACGTCCCGCCCCGGCGCAGCAGGAAAGCCAACGGCCCGCAGACGCCCGGCTAATGGCAGGGTGCCCGGTCCCGCTCCCGGATGAGCTGCAGCCTGTCCTCCCGGGACGGCAGCTGGTTGCTGGATCAGCAGTGCAGGCGGCCGGAGGCTCGGGCACGGTTTGCTTTGACAGTGAGGTTGGCGATATGGTCCCAAGAGAAGAAGGGCGTTTTGAACCGAGGACTGACGGCCACTGCTGCCAGGCTGACGCTGGAAACTTGCTGGTGGCTTGTTTTCGCCATCTACAGAGGGCAGCGGTACTACGGCAGCGTAAAAAGGACAGGGCAGGTCACTTGTCCTTCGCACGGCCGGGGAAGTGCTTCACAAGCAGCCATATGGTTGCAGCGGCAGAACTACTAGCAGAAAACAATTTCGCCTCTAAGGGAATGACAAGCCTTTCTCAGGAAAAGGAATGCCAGCTATAAATTAAAAAGGCTGAAAACTTCTTATAGACACGCGGCTCCCATAACCAGCCTGCGCCATCTTCTGCTACAGTGATTATACATGGTCAAGGATTTGCAGGTCTGACAGTTCCAGGGAGAAATTCTCAAGCCATGGCTGTCGGATTCTGGGTTCCCTGAAATCCCATCTGAAAGCTTGTAGGAATTCAGTAATATCAGCAGAATATTAACATTCTTATGTGGCACAACATTGAGGCTTCTGACACAAAAATAGAGTGCTGCGCTCGCGCTGCTTCAGATACCCAGCAGTGGTGCAAATAAAGACATGATCTTTATAAGGAAATCAGACCACACCTGTGGCTTCAGTATCTTTTCTATACTTGAATTCTTTAAGCTTATCTACACCAAACAAAATATCTAACTACAAAGAAACAAAACCAATTCCTAACTTCTACAGCTTTCCCGGGGTCTGTCTGATAAATACTGATTCGCGTTCACATTCAAGTACCCAGTGCAGACCGTAACAGCGGGTGACGTCAGGAGTTGCAGGTACTGTGGACAGTGAGGATGGCAAAGCAGTACCTTGTCTTGTGGGCCCCAAGGATGAGTACAACACGGATTTGCACGGGACGAGCACAAAGCAGCTTCTGCCTCTACTCTCTAAGGTCTCATGGTGAATGCACTCAGAGTCAGCATTAGATTCAGTTCAAGAGCCAAAAGATTCTAGCCCTACTTGACCCAAGACACTCAGGGCACAATTAAATCCCAAACATCACAGCACCAGATAGACTATAGGGAGAGAAACACCTAACTCCTCCTCTTGCTGACACAGAGAGTGGAAAAACAAAGAGCAAAGCTGCACTCGGGAAGATGCAAAATAGTAATAAAAGAGCTTAGGAGGACAAGGAAAAATGACTCAAGAAAAAAAAGAAACAATCAAGAATTTTTTTCTACTCAGACGCTACATGAACTTAAATTTACTGGTTTGATTGCACCATTAACTACGACAAACTGCTGGAGCCTGGAGCGTAGAGAGACTGCAAACAATGAAGAGCAGTATCAGTGGGATTATGAAATGACAGGGTTGGGTCAGAAGGGAACAGCAGATGGGTACAGGGAGAACTAACCTTCTTCAAAACAGAGGTATAAAAGGAGCAAATAGAATAGCCCCGACTGAGACAAATGGGAGCGGTTAGCACAGGGTGCTTAATGACTCTCTTGCAACATCACCACACAAAACCAGTGTGTCAGGAATTATTTTAATGCATATCATTAAGTGAATGGTATAGTGTCATATGGCAGTGTAAGTGCTTTGTACTATTAACAGCTTGATTTTATTAATTTTAAAGCAGTTTTTGTTCTTTCACAGCTACCTAGTCAATCTCCTGTTAAAGCCCAGCGCGTCCTGCGCTGTCCCCGGGGCTCGGCAGCACATCCTTCAGAGGAAGGCTCACCCATGGCCTCAAGCCGGCCCAGCAGCAAGCCTGCACAAACTACAGGGACATGCAAGTTCGACTGCAGCTGACACACGCTGCTGCTGCAGGGGAGAGATGCTGGACCTAAGAGAAACCCGTGCGCTTGTCTCCCACCAGAATAAAAGTGCTTGTTAACAGCGTTGCTTGCTTCTGCGCATCAAGCGCCCGGTGTGGTACCCGAGGGCGGGCAACGCGCCTCAGTGTTTTCAAAGGAGCCTGCAGTTGCGTAACAGTTTTTGGTATTTAGTTCAAGTAGCTTTTAAAAACTTTACAAGTAAGTTTAAAATAATTACAGGGTATTAATTAGTGCACTCTGCAGAGGGACAGATTCAGCCCAACTGCATGAAAAACTGAGCAAAAATAGTCATTCTGAGCCTGATTCACCAGACAGACAATCTGAGTGGTTTCATTATCAAACATCTTATTGTCTCCCCGAGGGAAAACCACAGAGAAACACTCTTAAGGAGCACACAAGTGTCCTTGTAACAATATAAACGAGATTTCCAGTCATCCACAGAAATCAAGGAATTGTGTCTTTGCTTTCAGACCTGAGCAGGTTCCCAACTCCCATCACACTACGGTGAGCACAGCAGCACAGAAAAACACTTCTGTCTTGCGAGCATTCAGACAATCCCTAGAACTTTTTTTTTTTGTTTGTTTTAAAATGATTAGCCATACTCTCTACTTACTATCAGGCTGTCATTTTATAAGTATATTTAGTTTCTTAAAAAAAAAAAAACAACCCACATACTTGTAGGAAAAATAAGGTCTCTTTTTTTTTTTAAAAGAGACTTGAGATTCCCAAGGCATTGTACTCTAAGGACTGCAACAAGTTTCTGTGGGGCATTTATTTGCTCTAAACAGAGCAAAGAGAAGACTAATCAGAACATTTTGGCCAGGACACAAGAAGTAACCGTGCCTGATAGATGTTAATTTTGAAAAAAATCACCAGTCAAGAGCAACAGAACAACCTTTTCCCTTAGCTGCTGAAGGTACCATCCCGTCCAAAGTTGTCTTGCAATGAGCCACCTACTTGCTGTCTGTCCTTTTGTTGTAAATCAGAAAGTCAGAAATGTCGTGCCACACATTACTGTCATCATACAGGTAGGTCATGGAGGACTGCAGAGAAGGCTGCAGAGTTTGCCGGTGGTACTCAAAGAGCCAGAGAACTGTCCCCCATATCAGAGCAGCAACAAGTGGAAAGGGATCCTGCTTTGGCTGTGGGACATAGCCCTTCTCCACCGCCAGCCGAGACAAGCCGAACAGGATGCGAGACAGCAGGTACATAATGATCTGCACGAAGAGAAACCCAAAGAACATTAGGTAAATAACTCCACCAGATATACCAGCCAGGTGAAGTGATGCAGAAGCAGTAAGTCAGGCAGGACGGGCAAAAACAATTTACCCAACAGCAAACAGGCTGTCGGTCCACATATCAAGCACTCTTTATAACTGGAGATGTTTGCGTCTTGCCTATGTCCTCAGAGTCCTACTTCTCTGCTGGTGCTCTTAATTTAGCAATCAACAGGTTACAGTTGATGCAATGTATCTTTGCAGTTGCACAACTGTCATCTCTGCTCGGTCAGTGCCACCTCAGATGCTGCTGCTGACAGGACAGCCACGGAGCAGCCCGGCTCACCTGCCAAGCAGATACAAGCTCGGTAGACTGGGCACACCCTAAAACCAGGCTGGCAGCATGCTCCTGCAGGGGCCTGCATCAGTAAACCACTACTGATTAATCTGCACGTGTGTGTTTTACTGACCGACTGATCTGTGACTGAGCGTTAACAACCAAACTTCCCCTGCGCAGCCTTTGTCAGTTTAACCAGTGAAGTGTAGCTCAGCAACTGACCGTGCTCCACGCTCACAACATTCAAGCTACAGGGTTTAGCCCTGCAAGCAGGCAGGCTAGGAGCGCACACGGCCAGTTACCACAGCTCGGATGACTGGGGGGGGCAACCCAATGGCTTTGGACTGCGCGACTGCCTGCCCTCCCAGCTGTACCAGTGCG